TTGCAGTTAAATATAGAAGTGAGCCAATCATACCTCGATATTTAGTAATTTCTATGGATTTACCTCCTTCATCCTTGTCTAAAGAACAAGATGTACCCATGGGAGTATCAATGGCTTTGGAGTTGTCCATTCCAAATTTTTTGAGTAACTCCTTGCAATATTTAGCTTGATTAATGAATATCTCATCCTTGTGTTGCTTTATTTGGAGACCAAGAAAGAAGTTTAGCTCTCCCATCATAGACATTTCAAATTCGATTTGCATGAGATTAGCAAACTCTTCACAAAGATTAACGTTACCAAAGATAATATCATCAACATAAATTTGTGCAAATAATAGATGATCATCTTTCTTTTTTATAAAAAGAGTCGTGTCCACTTTTCCTCTTGAAAAACCTTTTTCTAAAAGAAATTTGCTTAATCTTTCATACCATGCTCTTGGAGCTTGCTTTAAACCATATAAGGGCTTTTTGAGTTTAAAGACATGGTTAGGTAAATCAAGATCTTCAAAACCGGGAGGTTGATCAACATATACTTCTTCTTGAATATAACCATTTAAAAAGGCACTTTTGACATCCATTTGAAAGAGTTTAAAATTCATTATACATGCAAATGCAAGTAGTAATCTAATAGCTTCTAATCTAGCAACGGGAGCATAGGTTTCATCATAATCAATACCTTCCTCTTGATTATATCCTTTAGCAACAAGTCTAGCTTTATTTCTAGTTATTATGCCATTTTCATCAAGCTTGTTCCTAAAGACCCATTTGGTTCCAATTATTGGATAATCATTTGGTTTTGGCACAAGTTCCCAAACTTGATTTCTTTCAAATTGATTTAGTTCTTCTTGCATTGCCAAGAACCAATGTTCATCAATAATTGCTTCATTTACGGTCTTAGGTTCAATTTGAGACACAAATGCTAAGTGATTACAAATATTTCTAATTGAGTTTCTAGTAGTTACCCCTTTGGATATATCACCAATTACCGCATCAATGGGGTGTCCTCTAGCTACTCTCCAATCTTGTGGTAGATTGTTTCCATCATTGGTTTGTTGTCTTGGAGTTTCTTCATTGTTTGCTTCCTTTTCTTTTTCCCTTTCATTTTCCTCTTTGTCATTCAAGTTTATGTTTTTCATGCTTTCTATAACATCATCATCACAAAGTTCCTTTCTAGGCAAGACATGGTTAGTTTCATTAAATACAACATGAATAGACTCTTCAATGACCATTGTTCTTTTGTTATAGATCCTATAAGCTCTACTTGTAAGTGAATATCCTAGAAATATGCCTTCATCGGCTTTAGAGTCAAATTTGCCAAGATTTTCATTTCCATTATTTAAAACAAAACATTTGCAACCAAAGACATGAAAATATGAAATATTGGGTTTTCTTCCTCTGTAAAGTTCATAGGGAGTTTTCTTCAAGATAGGTCTAATTAAAGCACGGTTCATAACATAACATGCGGTGCCAACTGCTTCCGCCCAAAAATATTTTGGAAGATTATTTTCATTTAACATCGTTCTAGCAAGTTCTTCTAATACACGATTTTTCCTTTCTACAACTCCATTTTGTTGTGGAGTCCTAGGAGCCGAAAAATTATGTTCAATACCATTTTCTTCACAAAACATTTCAAATTCTTGATTTTCAAATTCTCCACCGTGATCAGTTCTAATTGAAACGATATTTGAAGATTGTTCATTTTGAATAAGCTTGGCTAGCCTCTTGAATGATTTAAAAGCATCGCTTTTATATGTAAGAAATAAAGTCCAAGTATAGCGAGAATAATCAAAGTGGAATATTCGTCGGGCTCATATCCGGATATTGTATATCGTATATCCGGATATTCTTTGTTACATATCCGGATATCTGATATCCGGATATTCAAAGTGGAATATCCGGATATTTCATAGCAGCAGCCTTTTTGTACAAGTGCTGAGTTTCTACTCTTTCCAAATGGTTTTTATGACGTGTAATGCATGTTATTGGTTATGGAAATTATCTAGAAAAGTTTGTATCGCATAGGTACTTCTTCCAAACCAAAAATGTACATATGAAACCATTTGTCTTGAATTTTCTTTTTAAGGATGCATGCTTTTGAAATATATGATTGATGAATGACCTTGAGCTCATGCAATGCTTTGTTTCTATACATCTTTACATATTTATCCTAAGTCCTAAATGAATATACCATTTGAGATTCTGGACTTGGATTGATGCTTGAGACTTGGTGCATACTTTCACATTTGCTTTTTGGATATTGCTACGTCTTTGAATCATTCCTCTTTGTTATCATCAAAACCATGTTGTCGTGGAATCATCAAGTATATGTTGTATCCACATCATCACTTTGATTCATCACTTGTCCTAACATCCCTTAACAAAATGGGGTGGTGAAAGGAAAAATAGACATCTAATTGAAGTTGCTCGAGCTCTCTTATTCACACTGCATGTCCCTAAATATCTGCGGGGGGAAGCCATCTTGACAGCCTCTTATCTTATTAATCGGATGCCTTCTCGGGTACTACATTTTCATTCTCCTTTATCCTGCCTTACTAAATCTTTTCCTTCTTTCAATGCTCTTTCTTCTCTTCCTCCCAAAATATTTGGTTGTCTGGTTTTTGTGTATATTCCTCCACATCAAAGGTCCAAACTTGACCCTAAATCCATCTGATGCGTCTTCATAGGATATTCCCCTAATCAAAAAGGTTATAAGTTTTACTCACCTTCTCTCCGTAAGGTTTTTGTTTCCATGGATGTTACCTTTTATGAGACACAATCTTTTTTTTCCCTGACTTCTCTTCAGGGGGAGTCTATTGGTCTTGGTATGGATGAAGATAAGCCTGGGAAACCAAATGATGTTGCTGTCTTACCTTGGCTTTTGGAAACAGGGGGAGTTATTGGGAAGGAAACATGGGGAGCAACTATACCTGAATCTAATGATCCTCCTGGTAAATGGGGAAAATTTTTACAGCAGGCGCAAAACACATGAAGATACTCTAGACTGCCAGGATCCTGACTCGAGTCCTTGTTCCAGCAACCTACTTGAATGTACTAGTACAGCCAACATTGATATGCCTATTGCTCTTCGAAAAGGTACTAGATCTTGCACTGCTCGTCCTATTTCTCATTATATCTCATATGAAAAGTTGTCTGCAGGTTTTCGTGCTTTCAACACTATGTTAGATAGTACCAAGATACCCAAAAATATCCAAGAAGCACTTGATGACCCAAAATGGAGGAATGCAGTATTAGAAGAAATGGATGCACTTACAAAAAATGGAACATGGGAGTTTGTGACATTACCTAAAGGAAAGAAAATTGTTGGTTGCAAGTGGGTGTTCACAATAAAATTCAATGCAGACAATAGCATCAATAGGTATAAGACCAGATTAGTTGCTAAGGGATTTACTCAGACTCATGGGATAGATTATCAGGAGACATTTACTCTTGTTGCCAAACTTAACACTATCCGCATTCTGCTATCTCTTGCCGCCAACCTAGATTGGCCATTGCAACAATTAGATGTTAATAATGCCTTCTTGAATGGTGATCTACATGAGGAAGTTTACATGGATCCACCTCTTGGTTTTGAAAAAGGGGATGGTTCTGTGTGCAAGTTGCAGAAGTCTCTCTATGGACTTAAACAATCTGCCAGAGAATGGTTTGGGAAATTTACTAAGCTGTTAAGGGAAGAGGGTTCACCCAAGCTCAGACTCATCACACTTTATTTTTTAAATACTCCGACAGAGGAAGAATTGCTATTATGATCGTTTATGTTGATGACATAATTGTCACTGGTAATAATAGCGAGGAGATAACCTCTTTAAAAAAAATGTTTAGCTGACCATTTTGAACTAAAAGATCTTGGATCTCTCAAATATTTCCTTGGCATGGAAATTGCTCGGAGTAAGGAAGGAATTTCTTTAACTCAGAAAAAATACATTCTAGACCTGTTGCAAGAAATAGGTATGCTTGGGTGCAAGCCGGCAGAGACTCCAATTGAAGCTAATATCAAGGTAGGAGTTGAGGACAGGGAAGATGTTGATAGGGAGAAGTACCAGAGACTAGTGGGGAAATTAATCTATTTGTCTCACATGATATTGCTTTTGCTGTGAGCATGGTTAGCCAATTAATGCATTCTTCTAAGGAAAAACACCTTAGTGTTGTTTATAGAATTCTCAAATACCTCAAAAATACCCTTGGTCGAGGAATTTTCTTTAAAAAAGGGCACAAAAGGATGATTGAAATCTATACAGATGCAGACTGGGCTGGCTCTGCAATGGACCGAAGATCTACTTCAGGATATTGTACTTATGTCTGGGGAAACCTTGTGACCTGGAGAAGTAAGAAACAAATTGTTGTTGCAAGAAGTAGTGCAGAAGCGGAGTTTCGGGCTCTAGCCCATGGTATTTGTGAAGGAATTTGGTTACGAAGGCTTCTGGAGGAGTTGAAGATCTCTTATTCCCTACCTATCAGATTATATTGTGATAATAAGGCTGCTGTCAGCATTGCTCAAAATCCTGTTCATCATGACAGAACAAAACATGTGGAAGTTGATCGTCACTTTATCAAAGAGAAATTAAAAGACGGTAGTGTATGCTTGACATATATACCTACCAAGGAACAGACGGCAGATATCCTCACCAAAGGATTACTTAAGCCGACCTTTGAGAATTTGATCAGCAAGTTGGGAATGATCAATATATATCTCCCAACTTAAGGGAGAGTGTAGAATATGTAGAATATTCTAGATAGTATTTATTGATGTAGTTAGTAGTTGTATATTTAGTTGGTAGTAGTATATTTATTAAAGTAGTTGAGGTAGTTGGATGTACTCAATATAAAAAGGACTCATTGGGTCTCTCAATGAATCAAGAAAGTATTATAAAGATAAAACACTTCTTTCACTTCTTCTTTTCTCCAATTATATATTGACAAAAATTTGTCCCTCAGTAGGCCTTGCAATAATCTGATAATATTAATTATGAATTTTTTTTGCAGCAAGTTACATAACATGAAGAGAGGGCAAAAACATGTGGATGCATCTCCATTATTTGACAGAGTTGTATTTAGTAAGGTAGTGTAATTTCATAAATTTTAATTCCACGCCAGCCCCCTTGGTACGAACAGCAACTGTAACGACATTGATGTACTAATTAATAATCTTTTTGCAACTTGATCAGGTAAAGCAAGGTTTAGGGGGTAATGTACGTATTATTTTGTCAGGAGCAGCTCCTCTAGCTAAACATGTGGAAGGTTTCCTGCGGGTGGTTACTTGTGCTCATATCATGCAAGGATATGGTATGCTTATGCTCTTGTTAAATTTTGTATAATCCCATTCACACTATGCCGTTTTTATTTTATTTTATTTTTTATTATAAATATTTATTTTTCATAAAATAATAAATTCATTAACATGAAGAGATAAAAAAAATTACACGGAATTTGGAGGATAAAGGATCCTCTATAATAAAAAGAAGAGAAATTATGAAAATTTTAATGAAGCAAAGTTGCCAAATCCTAAAATCTAGACTACAAAATATCTCCGAGGAGAAACCATTGATTACTTCCTACTTAGTCTCATGGAGTATAAGGATTAGCCTTGAAAATAATCTCCTTAACCCTTTCCTGCTTACTTGATTCGCTCAAATAAGAAGCTTAGATAGTTTCCGTGGACATACATTAGAAAGTGTTTAATTTGTTCCTGAATTTTGTTACTCACTGTGTAAAGAACCAATTCAACCCAAAAGGTTAAGATATTAAGTGAAAGCTCGTCAATGGTTTAAAGAACCAATCTAACACGCCTCCTCACATTGGACATGAAGGGTGAATAATGCACAGACCTATCTATCGGTGCTAAAAAACTTTACAAGAGAAAGTGGAGGCGACGAGGATTGAACCAGTGACACGAAACTCTGATATTATGTAATGAACCAATTCAATCCAAAACCTTAACTTGTTTTTATATACTTCTCTAACACGGTGATTTTGTCTGCTTCAAAATTTTTGCATCATGTGATACTCAATGCATATATTAAAATATGGACTTGATTAATGCACTTTTCTTGTTCAAATGAGAATAGGTCTGACTGAAACCTGTGCGGGATCCTTTGTCTCATTACCAAACGAAATAGACATGATGGGTACCGTGGGTCCTCCTGTACCATATGTGGATGCGTGCCTTGAATCTGTTCCTGAAATGGGATATGATGCACTTGCTAGCACGCCAAGAGGAGAAATATGTATCAGGGCAAATACCGTGTTTTCCGGATACTACAAACGTGAAGATCTCACCAAAGAGGTTTTGGTCGATGGATGGTTCCATACAGGTTTGTTCATTTATCTTTTTTCCAAAATTCAAGTTTACATAATATATGCTTTTTTATTGATTGCATGGTCACTTTTTAATTTTCGTCATTGATCTATTCAACAGGGGATATTGGAGAGTGGCAACCTAATGGGAGCATGAAAATTATCGATCGGAAGAAGAATATATTTAAGCTTTCACAAGGAGAATATGTTGCTGTTGAGAACCTGGAGAGTATTTATGATCATGTTTCTGCTATTGAATCAGTACGTCTCGTGAACTCTTATAATAGTTTTGAAGCCTTATCTTGTAATGAATTTATTTGCCACTATTAGAAAAATACGTGGAAGATGATCTGTTTTTTATATAGAAAGATGAAAAGGTTATAGGAAAAAAGTGGTAGTCAAACTACTTGAGCTCAGTGGTTCATGATAGAATTACTCAAACTGTGCCCGTAGCTTTAGACGAATGAGGTAAATTGCATCTCTATATATGCATATACTCGTATTGGACTTTTTCCTTGCATGCCTAAACATATACAAACTACATTGTTGTTGCTTGTTGGATTTATATTTTATTCTTGTTCCGGAATGATTATCACTCCTAGAGAAGACTTAAGAATATTATTATGGCATGTATCTGTATAATTATTGTTGTAAATTCCAGATTTATGAATGATATCCAAAGGTTTAGCTTAGTGCAAAGATAAGTAATAAAGGTTTTGTTTACAAAAAAAAAAAAAAAAAAGTAATAAAGGTTTTAGTTTCAGCTTCTGTTCATGAGCAGACAATGTTCTGTGACATGTTGAAATGACTTTTTTCCCTCCTCTGATTCAGATATGGATCTATGGAAACAGTTTCGAGTCCTTCCTTGTTGCTGTTGTTACCCCCAAGAAGGAATCACTTGAGGTTTGGGCAGAAGAAAATGGAATAACCGGGGACTTCAATTCTCTCTGTGAAGACTCTAAGGCAAAAAGTTACATTCTTGGAGAACTCACAAAGATTGCGAAAGAAAAGAAGGTCCTATTAATTCAAGTTTCTTAATATTTCTCTAATTTGGAATATCATACAGTATATATTTAACTTGAAGAATTTGAGTATTTCTCAGAAAATTCACGGTAAGATTGAAAGTTTCCATCATGTATATCATGTTGATAAAATTTCACATTAATCTGAAATTTTCTACGCCATCAAAACTATTTATAATTAACAGACAATGTACTTTACTATCAACAATTTATCACATACTTTTTTGTGTAACTTTTTTAAATTTGACAAGAAATATTAATATAATTAAGTACAATTGAATAGTTGGATGGACTAAAATCATTTTTTCATAAAGTACGAATGAGTGGTGTGTCAAGTATCTATTGATCCCTACCTTTTGTGTGCCTGTATGTTTGTGTCTGCAATTATGTATACGGACATCACCTTAAGCTTTATGAAATCCTGATTATTATCATTATTATTCTGGCAGTTGAAAGGTTTTGAGTTTATAAAAGCTGTTCATCTTGAACCAGTTCCATTTGACTTGGAACGTGACCTTATGACTCCAACATTTAAGAAGAAGAGACCCCAGTTGCTTAAATACTACCAGGTATAAATTGTCAAATTCTCTGGATTTCATTTTGCTTCATATGAATAGAAATGGAAAGCAAAGTGGAATCACCTTCGTAAATGGATGGTTTTCTTTTCCCTTACTTTTCAATAAACCAAGCAACAAATGAACAAAGGTGGAAGATGTTAATCAATTCCCATTGTATTGATTTAGTTGACTAATCACTGTGATTATGCCAGCATGATACTATGGTTCTATATTGTACATTGACTTGGTAATGGAAACACTCAACACAATGTCTGGCAACCTACGACGTTAAACTATCTCTATTACATGTGCTATTGCAACGGAGTGATTGAGGAGCTTCATCATAATAGTCTATCTGAACTCAATTTTTGTGTGCACAGAATACCATTGACAACATGTACAAGACAGTAAACAATTCTAGTGCCTGAGATATGCTTTTGGAGCTCGAGACATGGAGACAACTTATTTATGCGTGTAATTGCGCTAGCCTTTTCTTGTGGTGACTCTGTAGATGGGTGACAAATAATATGCCATGGATAGCTGCACAACCATAGAAGGTAAGAAAATATGCTTAGGTAGGTAACATATTTTAAACAATATTGAATTATTGCCTCGTTATGACAATAATACTAATAGTTGTTTTACAACATTGAGCAGATTTTCAATATGGAAAATTTCCATCTCGGGCCCTTTTGGTGCATCTCAGTTTGCCTGCGTCTATAGTCTTTCTGTTTTGGTCTCCTGAGTTCTGCATTTCGGTACAAGGCATGAAAAAGTCAACCATTTTGTTGGATTTGTCTCGTGGATCACTTCCTGAATATCCCACAAGGAGTTTTTAAACATCTCTTCTAAAATTTTATTTTTTAATCATCTCTTTTTCTTGTATTTCATATCGTGATTTTTTTTTCTTTTTGATTTTGTTTACTCTTTCTACTTTCTTCCTCTCTTTCCTTTTACGGTCAAACATTTTACTGAGGTATAAAAAAAATAACTTATCTAATCTCATTTTTGTACTTAATTTTTATTTTTATTTTCATTAATTATTATAGCAAAAATAACTCTTCAAAGTTAAGTCTAAAAATAAGTCCATATCAACCGGGCAAAAGCCCAAATCTCTTCTTCCTGACCCAATTGCACAGAAGCCCGACCTGATCTTTCAAACCATCACCAGTATTGTCTTAGGCTTTGGGTTATGGGTCAAACATTTTTCCCATAAACTAATTCTAATAAGAATGAAAAAGAGTGTTACCCAAGAAAAATAAAGGGAATGAGAGGAGAGCAAAAACGAAGGTGGGTCATTTAGACTTGTGATGGCAAAAAGGTGTCGGTCATTGTGACTAGCTATGGTTTTTTTCCGGCGAGGTCTCAGATTTGGAGATGGAGGAAAGGTTGTGGTTGGCTGAGCGGGCAAACTTGCTTCAATTGGGTTTGGTTATGCATGGAATGGTGGCGGTGGCCTATGCTAGCTATATGCATAACACTTGCGAAAGAGAATGCATTGTTAAAAGAAGCAGCAAAAAGATTGGCTTTTGTGCGGGGAGAGCATTCCTTCTAAAACCAACAAAAGCATACCAACTTTACAAACATCTAATAGAGAGAAGATCTTACTTAACACTAATCCTGAGAAAAATTGAAGAGTAAAGACCAATATGTTGTACCAGTTCCCTTCTCGAAACAACTAATCCTGAGGCGTGTATAAGCAAAAAATGTCTCTGCTATGGGTTCATGTTAAGTTCCTTCACCTCTCCTATTCTGAATTATGAGCAAAAAGATAACACTTGCATCCTCCGATTTCCCCTTTGTGTTTCAACCCTTTTTTTTCCATTATTCTTTTCTCTTCTTTTTTTCCATTGCCAACTTATAATAAGTACTGTTTTGTTATTATGAGTTCTAACTGCTAAATACCTAAATATGTAGTACTGCCATAAAAGAAGTAACATTCAAAATTAAAACAAAAGACATATTTCCTCTTCATTTCCCAATAATACTGCAGAGAAGCTAGATCTTTAAGACTGATTTTGGGACCCTAAGAAGGGTAATATGACTTCCCAATTCAAGGCGAGCTAGTCACAAGCATGAACTACTAGCTAATCGCCCGCCATAATTGCATTTCTTCAGAAACATTGTTACCCGAAAGCATAAATTTTTTCACACAACTGGCATAATTAGCGTTGCACAGCAAAACTATATAGTGGTGAATATGAATGTGTTTTAATATAGGGAAAAATGTTTCGAGATAAAATTATCTTCGGCAATCCCAAAACAATATTATTTTGGAAGATATTTTAAAAAATTTACTCTCATTTTATCATAAAAAGTTAATGCCTCTAATAAAACACAGGATTCGGTTTCTCTCTATTCCTCTTCCAGTATTCCTTCTCGCTCTGGCTATCCCCTCACAATATTTTCTCTTGTTCGAATACCCTACCTAGAAAGAAAGGGCACAAACACAACAAAATTTGATGCGCCTACCAATTTAAGATGTCACATACTTGAGACAATTTCTGACACGTCAAACACGAACTCGACCCCTTAAAAATTGTTCATGCTTCACAATATCGCAAGGAATACAAATCCTCACTAATGTTATCAAATACTCAAGACTTGCAAACTAAAATGCCTCCCTCCAAGCAAGATCACCCTGATGACAGCAAGGCTCATCATCACATTTGGTTTCTCTATCAGAAACATAATTCAGCTCTCACCTCATGCAGCCCAGTCGCAACATTTTTTTTGTTGAGGCCATCTCTGTTCATATAATGTGCTCGTTTCCCTGCAAAGCAACCGAATGCACATATCCAGTATAAATGGGAAGGATATCATGGTACAGTATAAGTAGAGGATCTAAATTAAAATAAAATGCTTTTAATCCACGTGCCTAGTCAACAAGAATATTGCATAATCGACAATGATTAAGAAAAACATGACAAAATGAAAATAAAAATTACCAACGCCATGAGTGCAGATAATTTATATGGAAGGAGATTGCTCCATTCAATCATATTGTTTCTCGACTATTGAATTGCCTCTCTCACTACTAGATGCAAGAGGCAAAGACATAAGTTGCAATGCAAGTAACTCATCTCTGCTATACCTCAGTCTTTGATCTATGACAATAAATGAAAAATTAAAATTAGATAAATCATAAAAAATCACAACATAAATATTAGAAAGGTTATTAGCAATTTACCTATAAAATATGGAGAAACGGACATCTGTTCTTTCTTCTCGGCCGCTTGCATAGTCCTTGAAGTTAATCGAGACGGAGAAGAATGATTAAGTCCGTTTTGGTCAAAAGGAAAGACGGTAACATGTTCATGCCTTACTTCGATTTGTGGATGGTTTCTACAGAATGACAAAATAGTATCTTTAGTCAAGAGCCAACAGCCTCTGAGGTCCATCAGTTTCAGAGTTTCAGGAGCCTTAAACAGATCAAGCCCATAATTTGTCAACACCGCATCGCAAATACTAAGATTTGTCAATTTAGGGATTGATGATAAATAGTGAAGTGAGATGTCTGCAAGTGAAGCATTTTTAAGAGATAAATATCTCAGCTTTTGGAAGCTTGATAAAGGGTATAAAGCTTCGTCACTAACTTGTGTATTCTCCAAATTCAACCTTTCTAATTGTTTAAGATTTTGTAAAGACGTTAGAGAGTGCGGCGAGTTCAGATGAGTCCTTTCCTGGTGCAAAAAACCTGAGTCCAAAGTACAGATAGGAAGATTAAAGATAAGTACTTACAAGCAGCAAATGGAGGGATACAATCAAACGAAAGTGATGCAATTATATAATATTTTAATGAATTGAGTATTTAGAAATTTTGAACAACAAATATGTAAGAAAATTGCAATTTGTTAAATTGCAATTATCCACATTAGCATATAATATAAATGCTTAATCAGGAAAATCTGCATCAAGTGTTAGAAACAAAATGAACAATTATTTAACTCATTAACCAAGATGAGAATGAGGGGGATTTTATCCAAATAGCAATTACTTCCTTGCAAAAGCTCTGAATAGTACCAAACCCCATATTCATAGATCCAATATAGATATTTCATGTCTCAACACGACATAAGAATATGGAGTCCAAATCCTTCGCAAACAAGTCAACCACTGAATTTCCTTAATATGGAATGCATGCTTGTTACTAGTGTGACAGTCTCTTATTAATATGCAATTAACAGCTATTTAAATCTATCATGCGAACACCTGAAAAGTCACTTGATTCTGCAAGGTAACCAATGATACGAACCCACCATGGTTTGTGCCCCAAATATAGTAGTGGGACCAGGTGAAAATGTTGTTGGTTATGCTGACTCAGCAAAACAGAATGGAGGTGTGGGACAGCATGTTAGTTATGGGAGCAGTGGTTAAAAGGGGAGGTTGGGTGCTTGAGGGAAGTATCTGGAATCTTGGCTGGAACTTGGGATTGGGAGAGTGTAGAGCCTCTCCAATTGCTCTACGTTATCATTTCTTCTCAGTTGCTTGTATTTTCTTTTTTTATTGTCTCTGTATAATTCATTTCCATTTACTGTTCAAACCAATATATAGCAATACAAATACAGATTTCTCATTTTAATCTTTGTTCTTGTTAAAAATCTATCATGCGAACACCTGAAAAGTCACTTGATTCTGCAAGGTAACCAACTACAGGGAAAAATATAGGCAAATAAGCTATTATCTCCAAACATATTGATGCAAGACATATAGGAAAAGTTGAATGGCTGGTTTAATTAAAGATAAGGTTTACAATATTTCAGGAAAATGTAGGGTTTTAAAATCAATTTCTAGATCTGAGAACAAAAAATAATTAAAGAAGAAGAAGAAAGCCTCATATATGATAATGTCTGCAAGTACACACGTCCTGCTGTTCTTCCCCAAAAATGCCAAAAGGGGGAAATAATGTTAAATACAGCCAGGTTTTATAGTAGCCTACAAGTTGAAGGCATAAAAGTTTCCTAAAGAGGAGCTGTTCAGTTGTAAAGTTAAAAGGCCCAGCTAATGGCTTCAGAAATAGTAGGATTTAACCAGAAAAGTACCTATATCAACCACTGCAGACACTGCAAAAGAATTTATACATCGCAATAGTAACAAACTACGTCAAGTAATCATATACCTTTAATGTTTGTATTGCTCAGGTCAACAACCTTTAATGAAGGCATCATGCTGATAAATGAGATGGCAGAGTCATCCACTGGTGTCTGAGATAATGACAGAATTTCAAGATTGGGAACATGTCCGGCTAAAATCCCTAATCCAGCAGAGCTAACCCTAGTACCAGTTAGATTCAAAGTTTTCAAGTTTCCACCAATGCACAAAACCATCTCGACAGAATCATCCCCCATCATGCATGAGCTGAGATTGAGATGCTCTATAACTTTCAGTCTACTTAAGAAGAAGAATCTGCAAAGGCCAGAATTGGCTACATCCAGAAAGGACAGGAAATTTGTATTTGCATATAACATGGCTTCAGCTTCATTCAGGAACGTAGCCCCAGAGAGAATAAGCTTTGCCAAAGGAGCTTTATCATCTTCAAGTATAGAATCAATAGTACAATTACTCATGTTCAGACATTCAAGAGATGATAAACTAGGCAATTTTGTGACATTGGTCCAAGCAAGATTTAGATAGGTTAACTTTGGGAACATATTGAGAACAGCAGCACCTTGATTTGATATTTTACTACCCCAGAGATCAAGATATTGTAGCTTTTTCAGTACCTATGAGGGGGATGTTTAAAAGGAGACAGTAAAAGACACACAAAAAAGAAGGAAATATCATCATTTCTATTACTTGAGAACTGGCAAGACAGACATGCTGAAAACACAATAAATTGGGTATCTAACTGAAACAATCAATAATGTCTAATAGTGAATTCAAGCAAGTCATTCGAGAAATATGTGTCTCCATTTATCAGCTATGAAATGGATTGCTGTATAAGCATTAGCGTAAAAACCTTCTGAACCACATAAGCACTCAAATACAGTCCGACAACTTGGAAAGCAGTGCCAAACTGAACCCAATTAAATATGGTACCATAATTAATCAAGAAAGCTAGAAAGCAATAAAACAACTCCCATGAAACCCTGACTTGCGAGGGTGGGGGTGAGCAAAATCCTAATATGCAGCTTCATCCTTGCACATTCTTTGCAAAAAGGTTATTTGTCATATTCGACCCCATGATCTCTCAATCACAAAGAAACAGCTTTATAAATAATCCAAGCTTGCTCTCTTGGAAGCAAGAAATCAATAAATAAATAATGATTTTCCCAAGATGTTATATTAAGTTTAGATGCAAAACACAGTCAATGACGTGCATATATATCCATCTTACAAGTAAAAATCAAAGGTGTAACGAACAATGTGTATTTAGGTACAAACGCAAAAAAGAAGGGTTAGGAACCACCGACAGTAGCGTAAAAATTGACATAATAACACCATCCTACAACATTTTGTAGAAAATGAATTTAACCAATCCAACTGTTGAACTATACTTAATAAAGATGTTTATCTTAACAGATTTCATAAAACTTATACAACTAGAAGAATGTGATCAAGTGGTAAATATTTTCATGTATGCGAGAAGCATACTAAACCACAAATTTAACGTAAATTGATGGTGTAGAAAAAAATTGGACTGGTACGAAAAGAAATTGACTGGAGTAGTATTGATTATGATTTACACTAGTGTATAATAGGGGGGAAAAAATACCTGTAATGAAGTTAATGATATATCATCCACGGGTAAACCGCCCAAGTCGAGAAGAGACAAATTTTGAAGAGAGGGTAGAAGCTTGACTCCTTTGGCAGTGACGCTTGTTTCTGAAATGTGTAACTTTTCCAAATTTGGAACGGAAAGAATATGGTTAATTCCAGCATCATTAACCTTGGAGCATCTTGAGAGATCCAACTCCTTAAGACTAGTCATTCCTAAAACCAATTAAGCATAACGCTGATGAGTGATCTTGTAAACTGTAATAGTAAGAATAGGTTAATGGTTATATGAGTCGCAGTGTTGGTTTTTGGGGGGAACTACCTGTAATAGGCCAAAGAGCTGAAGTGGTGATTCGATGACAATCGGCAAGGTTCAAGTAACGCAAGTTGCGAAATGCTCCCAAATATGCCATCCACTCCGCATCCACAGAGTTATCGCCTCTCACATCAACCTCTTCGGCACTATGTTTGAAAACCCTACCCGGAACAAATAGAAATGTCAATTTTGAACAAATTCGTACGGAAAATGAGGGAAAATGCATAGAGAGAGAGAGAGAGAGAGAGAGAGAGAGTACTCGAGGAGGGAGGGGAAGAGGAGACGGCGGGAGATGAGGCGGCGGAGGAGAGCATCGGCGAGATGATAAGGCAAGCGATCGAGAGTGCGCTTCTGACGCCGCCATTTCTCCACGCTTTCTTTGTTCTCACAAGCCGCGTCTATGCAAAGCCCAACCAATTCACTACTTTCGCTGTTCATCTTCCGCTTTCGAAACCTTCCTCTCTCTCTTTTTCTCTGATTTCCGAAATGAAACGAAATTATATACTTGGTTGACTATGTTTGGTTGGGATCATCAGATCAAGATTCAGCTTCCTTCTTCTCTGCAGAAAACATCTCAACATGGGCCTCGCCGCCCCATTTGGGCTTTCACCCAATGTCAACTGTCAAGTAGTTACGCGCGCCCAATGTTTTGCGCGAAAATCATTTCTATATGTTTTTTAATTATTATATTAACGACGTGTAAGTTTAATTTCTAAAGTGTAATAATACAAGAAAATTAACCGGGATATCTTCCTCAAGTAATAGTTTAATTTAGACAAAAGTCTTGTTCGTTACCTATTAAACGATGATAGTTCAGTTGGCTATTAAACGATGATAATTCAGATGGCATATGAAAACTGAATACGTGGGAATGAATATGTATTTGATCCTGTGAATATGTATTTGATTCTCCTTATTACTTTCAATCCGAAGGATTGTTTTTGATTTGAAAAAAAAAAAAAAAAATCCTCATTTTTTTACTTTGCGTCTACTAATACAAGGTGTTTTATGCACTTGAGTCCAATTCTGAATTAGGGGAGCCCAATGTCTTCCTAACGCAATTTCGGATGAGGAGAGCCCAAAGTATGCTTAACCCAAACTTGGGTTAGCCGCATGGCAACTATCATATGATCTCCATCACTGAAGCTCTTCCTCTCATTATGTCCAGCAGATACAAAGTTTAAAATACACATGACACGAAGTTTATTAGACTTTTTCCTTAATTTATGGGCAAGTACTCATTATAGCTGGATTTTTTTAATGCTGGTTGGCTTTCCTTGTCCTTGTCAGCTGATGAATCCAACAATATCTCGAGATTTTACAGATTTCATAATTTGTTTTGTCAAGGTAAACACTACAAAAAAAGTTAAGCTGCAATCTTCCATGTCTGAAGCCCAAAAGGGCTGATAAGAAAAGATTGCTTCTCATAGGAGGGGGCAGTTTCCTGGGATTAGAGCATCTGCTAAGTGATGCAAAGAAGAATTCCGATCAGAAGAATTGTCTAAGTCTCTGGTGGTGGTGTTTGGTTGGGGGTTTTGTTGAAGAAATCCAGGCAACTTTCGTGTGGATTTTCACGTGATCATGTTTGGTTCAACAGGTTTTGACCAAAATCATCTATGTGAAATGCATGACTTTTTTGAGAAAGATAATAATTTGTACTGTTTAAAAACCCGATTTGAGGGTGATTTTTTGAGAAAACCCGGGCAAAGCACTGTTGACACACTTTTTGTCATATATTTCCTGGTAAAATTTTGTCAAATCAAACTACTTTTTTTTAACTTCCCCATCTATTCAACTTTCGCTGTGGATACCTAGTAATTACATTTCTCTAGTATTCTTAAAATTTATCTTCAATTAAACGCCCCCTGAGAGATGGTAGCCATATCTTCCTTTTGTTTGTTAGTTTGTATGCCATGTTGCAAGTTAATTTTTAGATGTTTTTATATTTTCAAGTTGGGTTTGATGTTTGTATTTGAGTTATATCATTTTAGGAGAGAAAAACATACGAGCAATGAAAACAACAAGAGAGAAAATGAGTGATTTTTTTTATTTAAATTTTAAATAAAAAATATTAATTTATGTTTTTTTCTATCTTAAAATGACATAACTCTATGGACAAATATTTTTTACTTTCAAGTTTGTAAATTGCTTTTTTTAGGAGGTTTTCCCATTCTACTGGTAAGACTAATTCTTGTTTTTATTATTATTTTTGGTGAAAAATACGACTAATTTTTATTTAAAATAAAGTGATTTCTTTTCTACATACTCGAACCCCTTTGTGGTAAAACATTTCAGGATATAAAACAAATAACCAAAGACAGCATACTGATAATTTTAACGCTGTTTGGTATGGGGTTTTTGAATGAAATGATGGGGAAGTGAGGTGAAGGAAATAAAATTACCATGTTTGATATAAGAAAAAGTAAAATAATCTAGGGATATTTTTTCCCCGTGAATCTCTTTTTCTACTATACATTGCTAAAAAACTTTTCTTTCTCACATATGGTATTCTTTTTTTCTTAGTAAGAGAGAAAAGCATTTTAACACTTATTACACTAAAATGCCCTTAACAATATTCAAAATGATGGGTATTTTGGTTATTTTAGTTCATATTCCTAACAATATTTTATCATCAACCAAACATAACGTTAATAAAATTAACTCAACTTTTTCGGTAAAATTTTGGCCTATCAAACACTTTTTCGTAACTTACCGGAAAAAAATGTTTCTCATTATATTCTTGGAAACATTTTTTTCTCGTTGAAAAAAAATATCTCTCGAACCAAACGTCCCTTACGAAATAAATTTTTCCACCGTGTTGGAGATGACTAGTTATAAATTCTAACCCCAAGATATAATGCCTAACAAATAACAAAACTTTCCTATTATAGAATAGAATAGAACAAACCAGTGACAAAAACATTTTCATAGGTTTTATATATAGCCGAAGGGCCCTCATTGTGAGGGCTATGTGAGATTGTGACACTTGCATTTAACATTACTCTTTTGTAGGGTATAAATAATGTTAGAATTTAGATTCACATATCACAGTCTCCATTAGCCATCACATACACCACACTCAGGCTGGAAATATTTCAACCATTGAATTAGCAACCATACACTTGCAATAACCAAATTCGCAAATTACATTGCACAGAACAAACACATAATTTTAATGCAAGAGTACAAAATGCTGCAAAGCTTACAACATCACAACACAAAAAGACATTCAAAGCTGTTGAAAAATACAAGTGATGACTCTTCTCTGAAATATTGAGAAGTTCATATATTTTTAAACTTCTCAGCAGTCGCTGTTTCGCTGTCTGTCTTGTATCACTCACTATAAGTTGTAAAGCGGAGAAGAAAGAGGATGAGCACTCCCTTATTGTCTCTTCACTCCTTTCTGCTCCGGTCCTTCCATCTTATATAATCAACCTATTTTGATCTAACCTAATGAAATGCAAAATACACAAGAGAAGAAGAAGATTTGACACCAAAATGGAAAAGGAAAATGAAAAGAACCTTTCTTCACTGCACATTTTGTATAGCTACACAGTCTTACACAACACAGCAGTAAACCGTTGCCATCTCACTGTAACCAAATTGATCAATCTCAGGCCAATAAGTAGTTAGCGACTGAGACATCTGCTTGAGAAGCAGAATGGATGTAAACGAATTCAAGGCTTTTGCCAACTGATAATGAGCTGAGCCATAGTGGAAATGAGTATAAATCACCGGACTTTGTGAGGCCCCAGATTGGACCATAAAGCTTGGATATTGAAAGATTGAGAGACTTGAGAGTCTTGGTGGATTTGTTAGTCACCACTGTTGAGTATCTGTAATAAGTTCTTCCATTGGCAACCCATGAGGTGGTCATCTTCTGTTCAATGGAAATTGGACCTGACCATGAAGTTAAAAGAGAAACTCCTCGGTTAGATTTTCATCTCAACATCTAATTTTAGTCTCTAGAGGTAAGCATTTCTCAGGTAATTAAGCAAACAGTACCTGCAGATGGAGTTATCTCTGGATTGGGGGATGGCTGGGGCTTGGTAACAACAGGCTTAGGAGCTGGAAGAACAACTGTAAGGAAGAGACAATATACCTGATTACTATATTATCCCTTGAAGATTTTTAGCAGGAGAGGGGCAGAAAGTGAGGATAATGATTACAATACCTGGAAGAAGCTGGTTATAGCCGCCATGACCTCCACTTAGTCGTGCTAGAATACCAATAAGAGGAGCATTGTTGTAGGTTGCTGGCTCGGTTTGCTCATAATTATCTCTTTCATCAGCAAAGTCATCATATGCATCAGGTCCGCCAACAATAGCACCAGTAAGTAGATTGGGGTCTCTGTTTTTGCTGCTAAACCAAGTAGCATAACCTCCACGGCAACTGACAAATGAAGGGTTGACCTTGATGGAAACAATGGATGAACCTCGGTGGTGAACTCTTTGAGGGAAGTTGCTTCCATAGCCCACCATGTAACTTGTGGCTCTTGGGTTGTCCCCGAGAATGTAGTCCACCTGAAGATTAAACAAGGAAAATGTTGAGAACTCATTGATATTCTTAATAATTGAAACATCAAAATTCAAGTGAATGTATGGAAGTGAATGCAGGAGATGGAATTACCTGAGACTTTGCAAGGGAGAGAAGCTCAGCAGGAGGGACATTGCCTGAAGCGCATCCCAAATATTTACCAGAAGAAGCAAGGTAGTCAGAGTAGACAGTTGCTAAAAAGGAGGCACTTGTGACAAACTGCAAGTTATTCCATCTCTGGCGGAAGATGAGGCCTCCAGGAGTCTTCTGAACATTGCGAGTACCCTTTCCAAGGCATGAACACATGAAATACTCAGCCTTCTGCTGATATCTCTCAAAGACTGGTGCATAATGGCCAGCTTTGCCTTGCATTAGGAACTGCAGGGAAGGAACATAGGAAAACTGCTTAGACACTGTTTATAAATTACATGCTCCTATTAAAGAAGCTAACCAATGTTTGTTATTCACTTTTTCATTAATTAATAATACCTTGGCGACTAATGTCTGAACTCCAGCATACTTGACGTCCCAACCAAATTCAGTCATGCTCCAACCAGTTCCTCCCATGGAGTCACCATTTCTCCCAAGGTAATCCAAGTAATACTGATTGTTGGATGCTTGATACAACCAAGCAGCAGCCCAGAGCAATTCGTCCTGTGTGTACAATTACCAACACACCATTAATTGTTACCTTTTTTTTATCTTTTCTAGAATTGATTGTTAACTTAATTCAAGCAATACTTTCACATGTACATTACTTGTTCCGAATTTCCAAATGGTAAATTTTTGTATAGCTTCAGATTTAATCGTGATCAGGAAGAATAAACACAATTGTAACATGTAAAACTTACATTGTAGCCACTGATGGATCTGTAGTATTTCTGGGCAACCGTAATGCTGCTGTCATATTTACCTCTGTATTTATCCGCAAAATCAAATAACTGAAATTGATCAAACCCAATAGACAATCAGTTGAGCAGGTCCAGAAGGAAATGGAATGGAGTTGCATTAATTTCATTAAATGAATTAATTAACCTTATCCTAATGTGGTGAAAATTTTTATTAAATCCACCTATTGAGTATCCTCATTTATTAGATTCAACTAAAATTGCTTATCTCCAGAAGAAGAAAAAAAAAGCTAAAATTGCCGATAACAGAGGGACCACACTCAGATCTGGGACGAAAGCATTTACTTAATGAGATCAGAATTTCAGAAGCATCTTTCTTCATAACTCCAACCCTCAATCTCTAATAAATGAATAATTAAATGCAACATGTTCTTCACCTATCAGGAACAGTGACAGAAACAGGAATAGGATCGACAGGCCAGTGAAAGAGTAAAGTAAAAGGTAACATGACAGCGGAAAAAGAGGTTCAATGTAGCTATGGTACGAGCAACAACCTGATCCACATTGATGGCCGATGAACGAGTAACTGTGCTCGGAAACTAAATGCATACCAAACAACCAAAGAGTGTAATTTCACCCAAAAAAAAAGAAAAGAGGCTACGATAGCACCGTCAGTGTGTGCCCACGTCACATGGCACAATGGCAATAACGAAGTTTGTTTCTCGCACGGCGTAAATCCCTTCTAGGGGAGAAAATTTTTAATGCACCAAACCACCAAATTCGATATTTGTTTTCCTTAATTTTTTTTTTTGTATCCATTTTTTTTTAAATCCTAAAAAACAAAATTAATAAAAAAAGGACCGAGTTGAATGTTTCTATAGCACTAAATTTTTCTCCTTCCAATGGAAGGTCAGGATCCAATACCACACAAATATCAATCCGTACGGTCCAATGGGTCCACCGTGATAAAAGGGTAAAAGTGTCTCTTCGGCCATCATGAGAGACGGGACCACTCTTTCTTCCTTTCTTCTATGTGTTCTCATTTAGACATAAAAACCAATATTTTTTGGACCACAGTCATTATAATTAATATCGAGAAAGAAAAGAGCAAAAAAAATATAAAAAAAATAAACGAAATAAATTTAGAGTGAAATCTTGCTTAATAAAGAAAAAGACTAAGGCAGACAAAAGAAAAAGAGGGAACAAAAAAGTTTACCAAGTGTACAAAACGAATTTTTAAGGGTCCCAAAAATATTGACATAATGTATCCATTCTTGTGCTTTTTTAAGTGAACAAACATTAAATATCCCATCTACTACAATGAAAACGTACCATAGTAAAACAAAGCTCCCGGCGGCAAAATTATAATTTCTATTCAATTTAGTAAAAAGGGAAAATATTTTTTTTTTTTTTTTTTTATACAATAGAGGTTTGAACCTTTTTTTTTTTTTTTAAAGCAGCAAAGTTTTCGGCCATTTTATTAAATGCAGCTCTAACCGATGCGGCCAACAACATGCTTGCAATAACAACTCTGACAAAAGAGCCATAAAAGTGTAACTGCCTATTAACTCCAACCGTTTCACTTACCGCTCAGAATTACAATCATGCGCACCACGCTTCAGTGTTTGTATACTATCTAAAATGCGCCAGTTTCACTGTTTTAAGTTTTTTTTCATATTGCATTATCACATAACTGAGCAGTTTTGTTTGGATCCTTCTTAAACGTAGATTAATAAACCATAATAAAGAGCAGTGTTTTAAGGATGTGGAACCTGGTAGGCATGGCGGAGGAGTTCGTTGGCGTAGGAAGGGTCAGAGTGGCGGAAAACAATGGAGGCTGCGGCCATGGCGGCGGCTGTTTCTCCGGCGAGATCCGACCCGGGATTGCTCGGATCGATCTTGTAAGCGTGACGGTCTGTGGTCATGTCCTCTGGCCTTTGCCAACAGTAATGGTCACTGTTCCCGTCTCCTACCTAATTGTCAAAAAGCCACAACAACATTCTTTATTCTAAATATTTCAACATCCAAAATCAACTTCAACGCTCTGAAATTGACAAGGTATTACTAATAACCCACGAAGATAATAATAGTAAAAAAAAAAAAGGAAAAATAACCCCCCAAAAATATAATAATATAATAAAGAGTGGAAAAAAACAGAGAGAGAGAGAGAGAAGGTACCTCTCCGTAGAGAACATTGGGTTGAGGGTGGGCTTTGATGAAGTAGTCAGTACCCCACTTCACAGCTTCCATGGCATGACCAAGCTCACCGCTAGCACCCATTTGTTTTCCGTATTCTATGATGCTCCATGACATCATTGTAACGGTGAATGCCATGGGTAACCCGAATTTCACATTGTCCCCTGCATCGTAGTACCCACCAACTAGATCTACCTGCAATTTAACATTAACAAATAGGGAATGTCAAAAAATGATCTTAATTAGAGAGACTGTTGATTCCTTCAAAATGGGTTGAAATATTTAACTTAATTTTCAGTGAAAGTAGTGAACTTTAACTTGGAATATGCAGAAAATTTGGGTGAAGAAACTTACCCCGCTTGCCTTGCCGTCTTGCAAACCAGATTGAGCTCTCCACGGTACTCTCTGGTTATGGGGAAGATAACCAGATCTCTGAGCTTCAAAGAAGAGAATGCTCTTACTCAGAGCTTGACCGTAGTCATGGCCAGCAAAGGCAAAAGGTGGGGACAGAAGCAAAAGCAAAGGAAACATGGAAATGAGTTTCACTAGCTTTTCCATGGAAGCAAATAATAGAATACGCTCTAATATGTTCAATGCAGCGAGAAATTTCAGTTCAGAGAGGAAAAGGAAATGGCAATGCCGCTAAGTTACAGCAGCTGAAACTTTGGGTAATCCCACCAATTTAGGAGGGAATCCGTGCGGAAAGAGAGAAACTTGAGAGAGAGAGAGAGAGAGAGAGAGAGAGAGAGAGAGAGTAGTGGGATTGGAAACTGAGGAGGTCGAGGCTCTATATATTAAGGAGAGGAGAAAAAAGGAAGGGATCAAGAACCCAGAAATTGACAGTGATTTATTATAAATTATAAATTAATGTTGTTTTTTTATTATTGTTTTGTTTTTTGGATTTTGAAGTGGCTGTAAATTAAACGTTTCGAATGCGAGAGGAACAATGTCATGTGGGCTTGCAGAATAGAGGTCGGTGCGGGTTTAAAGTATTAGGTAGAAATCAAATTACTGCTCACGGATAATTTTTTTTTTTTTTTTTTTTAAGTTTGACTTGTAGAATGGAGTTTGAGCTAATAACTTGTGATTGTGACCCTACCAATTTTAGCCGCAGGAGAAGGAAGGTCTTGCTGTGGAAATTTCAGTACCGAAATCGGAGTATTAGGTAAAAAAAAAATGGAATAAATTTTTTTTCATTTTAACTCATATTTTTTTTATATAATTCTATTTGAGTTTTGATTTTTTTTTCTCTTTTAATATGAATGTACGATGTACCTATTGCCGGAGTACCACAGATTTTCTCCTTGCTGGAAGTTTCATAGGGTTAGTTATTTTCATTTTATTTTTAAATATTTCTCAAATTTTAAGACAGTACTCTACATATTGTGCGTTGCTTTAAATATTGATAGAATTAATTTTGAAAAATAAATTAAAAATAATGTTAAAAATGAATTTTCATTTTATAATCAATATCAACAATATATTTATCTCAAACTAATTGGGATTAGTGAATTTTCATTTTAAAATAATATATAAAAATAAAAACATTTTCTAATATAAATATGGATATGTTTTTAAAATTTATTTAGCTCCCAGAGTAGAAATTATTTCCCCTGGCTAATTTTTTTTTAAAAAATTGTTTTTCAAAAACATTTTTTATATAAATTATTAATTACTCTGCAATTACACTTTTAACGCGACAAATATGATTTTTATGTAAATGAAATATAGTTTTTTTTATATGAATCTAGAGTTATTTCCATTCAATCTCCTACAGTCACCTTATCTTAGAAATACAGTCCTAAAGGTTACTTCCTCATTGGAACAGATGGTGCATTGAGATTTACCATCGGAAGAAGGATGAGACTAATCCCTCTATCGAGGAGAGAGGTGATTCCTTTGAGCCCCAAAGATTTTTCAAGAATTTACTTGAAAGTCAAGGTTTGAACTCCTGTACCCAATCAAACTCTTGAAAGCTCAGTTGCCAGCTAATTTACCTTTGGGGATTTAAGTGAAAAATAGTTGAGTTCGAGTCTGAGTGGAATAAGTGAACTGAAGGCAATTACTCGATAAGATTTTTATCCTTATTTCTTCTTGGTATATCACCAAGTGGATTAAGGAAAAAAAAATGTAACAAAGAATTAATTCAACTTAAAAGTTTAAGCTATTGGATAATAACTTTTTTAATGATTTATATTATTCTCTAATACACTCTCTCATGCAAGTGTCTTTTGGGCTTGAAGTATGAATATTGCACAAATTCAATTTTTGATTTACTTTGTACTTATTTGATTCTATTAGAAAGTGACGATGATGAGAATCGAATTCGTTATCTTATGATTATTGAAGCTCTGATACTATATAAAGAATTAATTCAATCCAAAAATTTAAACTATTGAATTATAGCTTTTTAGTTATATTATTTTTAAAAATATTAGGTGATTCTTTAAAAAAAATAATTACAAAATAGTTATATAATTATCGTCTAAGCTCTACACAATTACTAAAAATAAAAATTTATTTCCAAAGTGGGGAGGAGAGTGTTCTTCCAGAGAGAAAGGCTTCACAGTTCACACTACCACAGACAACCCAAATGGAGGACTCCATTGCATCAAACTTACAAGTTACGTGGGGAATGCCCATTGGTTTGGTTGCTGCAAAAGTGTCAATAATGTTTGACCAGAAACGATTCCCGGTGTTATTAACTTCTCGCCTACCATGTTTGGCTTTAATGGTACCCCATGTTCTTTTGATTTGATTGTTCCTTGCTCTCTTTTTTTTTTTTTGAATACATGATTGTTCCTTGCTCTATGCTTAGGTAAATTTTGTTGGATGATTTATTGCTAAACTTGTAACGAAAAAGCGCTGCTTCCGATTCCTTTACAAAAATATTGCGTTGTTTTATGACATTATTTACTATAAGAAATTAGTATTTTTCATGTTATAGGATATAATTTATCTTTTTTTTTAAGAAAGAGATAATTTTAAGTCTTATAGAAATATAAAATATGTGGTGTTTATGTTTAATTTTTTTTTTTCTCTTCTTTTGATATGATTTCATATATTTTTATAAATATGTAAAAAATAAAATTATCTCCTAGACTATGACACATTTAAATCCCTTAATATAATTAATGAAATCTTGTTCTAAGAAACAATATGCAGATATTTGAGTAACGAGCGTTATTGGTTAATTTGAGAATTGAGATTTTGAATAAATGCATACGTGGATTGTGTCACCGGAACAGAACCGAACTATGATTCTTGATTAATGATTGCACATGCATGTACTGATTAATTTACATAATCATGTATCCCTTTTGTGTATATATTATTACGTGCTTGCCCTAGAAGTCAAATATATTGACATTAGTAAAAGAAATTTGAGTTTTTTAAGTATGTAGTATTAATTTTTTTTTATTTGTAATCTGAAGGGGAAAAACAACCCCACAAAGACTAAATCAAAGAAATCCCACGCAAAGAGCAAATCTTAGAGAAATCAGCTAAATACAATAACCAAATCCCAGGGGGTGGGGACGGGAAAGAAATAAAAATATTAACTAAATGATGATCTAGAGGGTACTTTGACAGCCAATCTGCACAATTGTTGCTTTCTCTATAAGAGTGAATCAGTTGAACTTCACAATCCTTCAGTAACCATGCTCGAATACGAGTCACCAGACGAGACTCTCGAGCTGCTCCACCATCTCTGGATAGCATAGTGATAACAGACAAAGAATCACTTTCAATAATTATACGTCTCCAACCTCCAGCCCAAGCTACTTCTAAACCTTTTAACACACCCCACAACTCTGCCACAAAAGCTGAGCAAATTCCTATATGATAAGCAAAACCTTGGAGCCAGTATCCAGCTGCATTCCTAATTACCCCACCACACGCTGATTCACCACCTCGGTTCCTAGCTGCCCCATCTGTATTTAATTTTACCCGGCCTTCAATTGGAGGAGTCCAACCAACTGAAATAACAGCCTGCTTCTTTGTAAGGTCCATTCCCTTTAGTCATCTCCAGAGATTTGGAGAACTCAATTACCTTATTCTTTATTGTATGACTTTTATACGCATACCAATCCATTGCATTGCCATGAGCAATTCCATTTCTCCAATTCCATGCAAGCCAAATAGTTGTAGCAAAGATTGTGGCCCAAGGAATATTAAACCTCCTCCACGATACATTCTTTAAATTCACCACCAGCCATCTACTAAGATCAACATCAAAGAACTCTGTAATAATCTCTGTCGACAGCAAGTCATTCTAAACTTCCTTGATCTTAGAACAGTCTCTTGCCATATGAAAGATGGACTCTTCTTCCAACTGGCACAAAGGACAGTGAGGAGGAGTTAGGTGAAATCTAGCCAGCCAGCTTCTAGTCGGCAGTCTATGATGGGCCCTTTAACTTTCCAAATAAGCTTCCAGATCTCACCATTTTTCACTTCATTATGATCACGGTTCAACAAAGCAAAGAGAATCATCTTAACTGAAATATCATTGGACTTATTCAGCTTCCAAATTAAACTGTCAGCACCGTTTAATTCATGAGGAGGAAGCAAACTCCTAATGGACTGAATAATATCCTCTGGAAGTAGATTTCTCATAGCTTCCCCGTACCAGTCACCATCATGATTAACATAGTTGATGACTTTTTTTATCAATCTCTGACAGCTGGATAGCACCAATAGCTCTACTAGCTAGATTCTTATCATGATCGAATCATAGTGTTTTGCATATGGAAGTATGCAATTGTAGAAAGAACCGATTGGGTTAAAGAGACCCTACCAGCTTGCGAGAGAGTCTGCCCCTGCCAACTGGATAGTCTCATCTGAACTCTGTCAACAATACATGCATATAAGTTCCTTGATATTCTACCATGTTGGATCATCGCCCTTAAATACCTACCCATATTTGATATTCTCTTAAACCCGCTAATTTCAGAAATCTTGTTAGCAATATCCTCAGGAGTATTATTAGAAAAGAAAATGCTAGTCTTATGATCACTTACTTTTTCACCAGAAATCTCACTAAACAGGCCAAGACAAAGAAGAAGGATATGAATTTTATCTTCAAAAACTTCTAGGAACAACATCAAGTCATCTGCAAACAACAAATGAGAGATCTTTGGACCATTTTTCCCTGCAGTAATAGGTTTCCAAAGCTTACCTCGAACAGCAGTATCAATAATGTGAGATAATTTTTTCATTGCTAAGACAAATAGATAAGGTGACAATAGGTCACTTTGTCTAACTCCCCTAGATGGTTGGAACTCCCCAGTCAGACAACCATTCCAAACGATCTTGGCCTTAGGAGAAGACACAACTGACATAATTAACTTGACTAGAGATTCCAGAATCTGAATTTCCTCAAGAACACTGCAAGTGAAGTTCCATTTGAGACGATCATAAGCTTTGTCTAAATCCACCTTTACAGCCATGAAACATTTCCTTCCTCTCATTCTTCTCATTGACTGCACAAGCTCTTGAACAACTATAATATTATCTTGAATATGCCGATTCGGAACGAAGCTGGTCTGAGCAGGAGATATAAC